AGATAATATTTGAAACCAGGCTTTTTTCCTAATAACATGGTGTTTACATGTGTTTAAAGGATACAGATGACTGTCTGAAAGGTCATTGAAATATCAAGTTAATCAGTCAGTTGAGGATCTAGTTCATTTAACATCTGGGGAAGAATGGGCACATCTTTGAACACATGTTTCAATTTCTTTGTCCAACACCTGTATATGTATGTATGGATCTTGTTGCAAACAGCAATCATATCTATATAAGAATGATCGTATTTTAATAATTCACATATTGTACAACAACAACTCACTGACAATGTCGGCACTATATCGAATAAGAATAGGAACATCTACTGCTTATAGCAGATAAATTACTTACATACAGGGCCACATTTACGCATAAGCAGTGCAGGCAGCTGCCTAGGGCGGTAAATTTAAAAAACATCGAACGAAAACGTAAAAAAAAAATTGATTAATTATTATGTTTTTATTTAATTTTGTAATATGGGGGCGTTGCAACTTGCAACCCGCAGCACCAAATTGAGATACCAATCAAGAGAGCTGAGCGATCATGTGACTTAACTAATACAAAGGCTTAATTTCTGGAGCGATCATGTAGAGGGGGGGGGGCGGCAAATAATATCTTCCTAGGGCGTCCCTGCTCACATATCTTACAAAAATAATACCTATAAAACTCTTTTAACACCATAACAACGCGAAGCGTTTAAGTGTTAAGGTTGGAAAAATTCTTAAAATTTTACTGTTACACCTCCGTTCTTTAGTTAATTTTCCGTAAATTCGTTCCGACGAAACTTTAGCGACACAAGTCCTTTCTTAAATAAAACTGGTTTATTCTTTCTGAATATAACTTTGCGATACACTTAATTTCAACAGTCGCGCTATAACATACGTCTCACGAGCTCGACTTCAACAATACTCCGTTCAATTACACACTCTCTGACTGCAGTTCAATTACTCATTGCCTCTGTTGTCCCGTCACGGTGTGACCGTCTTATATATATACAAGACTAACACATATCTAGTAAATGCTAGGGCATTCTTGAAGTAACAGGATATTTCTAGAAAGAGGTGGCGTGATACTAGTCATGTGACCTCGCTGACGCAACAATACTATGAAGCTCCACAATATGCACTTATTTATCGCAAACTCTTAAGATTATCCGTGACAAGTCTTTCAGGGCCAAACATACAATTTAATCACACGGCTAATTACAACAACTACGTAAAAATAACAATGACAATAAAAATGAAACGTCAGGCTAGAACGCAAACACGACTTCGTAAATCAACAATGAAATGAAAACTTTAATAACTCGTTCTATAAACTTCATTTTTGGTTTTAACTAGTTAACGCAGATTTCACAGTTCTGACAAGTATTTATAATCACACACTGGAAATATCTCTCATTTCCCAATTGCTTAAAATAATAACATTATGTAACTCCACTATACTAACTTTACACTTTAAGTATAACATTTCACACTAGGTGCCGCCACATTATAAACAAAGATTACAATTGAATTTAATTCGCGATCTACCTTTATCAGTGCTTTTATTTACAAGTTCGACAACAAATATAAACAATCCCATCCTGGAAATAAGTTTCTTTTTAAACGGCGAAATATTGGAAGACCAATAGGCCTAAAAACAAATTAACTCCAAATATTTTTCTCTCTATTTCTATATTTCTCTTAAGTCAAAACTAAAGATGTGTTAAAAAACATCTAAGATCCATCTTTTTGTCTTCCACATGTCGCTGCCAAGTAAACTTTTCTTTCAAGTTTAACTATCGGACTTGGATGATGAAAGACAAAAGTTTCTACGAAACGTTATTTATGAGTGTAGTGTAAAAGTTTGTATCAAAACGAAAGGTTTCGGAGACAACTTTTTATCATAAGACGCTGTTTATTAAATTAAGTTTTCGAAGAAATCATCGAATGTATATCCTGAATATCGACTTTAAAAAAGGTTAAACAAAGGTTTAAATATACTGAATGCGTAAAGGTATAGAAGCATTAAAAAACAATAAAATACATAAATTTCAAGGAATATGGAGAAAAATAACTATAGTCAAATATTATTATCGTCACGAATGCCAGGTCTATTAATACAATACGTATTGGAATTGGTGTTTTATATTGTATATAAAAAAAAAATTCATTTTTTGTGTATTCCGTGTCTAGAAATCTGTAAAGTTTACGCAATATGCGTTTTCTAAACATTTAATTTAATTTCTTGACACGATGGTGCCGTTTTTAAAACGTCTACAATAATTTATAAATTAGTCAACAGATGGCACGAAGGTAACATTCTTACAAAGATAATTTTATTATTAAGCACAAAACTACAACAACAGGCTAACTAGGCTGTCCCTTGCGTGGCTATCGAAATCCGATTTTTAGCGTTATAAGCTATAAGACTGACCACTGAGTCACCAGAGAGAGACAAAAGAAAATCAGTAAAATAAAAATTTAGAAAACATGAATAGACAAATATTCAATGAAACAGAAGATAAAAAGTAACAATGTTTTAAAGAATAAAATATGTCATCATCTTTTGTCAAAATTACCAGGTCTAATTGCAATTGGTCTCGACCATACCTTCAGTAAACCATTAGTTTGGACTGTGGCAGTCCTAAGCCCTCCACTTAATAAACACGTATATATATACGTGTGTGTCTGTAATGTACATAAATTTGATTGGTAATTATGGGAATGAAATCTTTTATTTTATAATAGCTTCATTTGTAACACTTAGGTTAACTACTCATTCCACCATTTTTATGAAGTCATCTGATGTGTGTCAGTGGTAAATTTACGAAATCGCAATAATAAAGTCCGAGGTTCGATTCCCCGCGGTATACAGAGTGTTGAGAGTCCATAATGTATCTTTGTGCTAAAATAAAAAACAATCATATAGAAAATATCCACTGAATACATATTAATAATTAAATTTCAAGATTAAACTTTACATCAGTGTTAGAAGAGGGAATGTATATTATAACTTTCCCTTAATTATGAAATATTATCAGTAAATAATTTTTGTAACTGATACAAAAGTAATGAAGAAAGAAATAAGACATTGTCATTCAAATCCCAGCTCAAATATTCTAGATATATTTAGAAATATAATATATTTTTTACTCCCATGCACAGACTTACCACCGAAGGATGGGAGAGGGTAACTAATTTTTTTATTTTGTGTTTTCGTTATGAATAAAGTATTTCTTATGCACTAAAGTCTGATCTCCTGTGCTTCTAGGAATCACTGAAACCTATTTTGTGATGAGTTTTAAACGGTATAGTTAATATTTCTGGTTTCACTGTTGTATTTGTTTTTGCAAACTTTGAACATTGTCAGGAGTTCTTCAACTCTAGACATACCACCATAAGGTTATAAACAATAACTACATAAATATATCATTTTGTCAATTAAGTTATAGAAAAAAACTACATTTACAATCTAGATAATAATAATAAAAACTTTTTATTTCAGCAAACGTTTCGTCCTTGTGGTTTCATCAGGGCTGATTGTAAATATATCAATACTCAATTGTAAAGAAAGACAAACGTAAGAACAACTTCGTAAATCAACAATAAAACAAAAGCTTTAATAATTAAGCATATAAACTTGAATTTTTGATTGAATCCGTTAATGCAAATTTAATGATTTTGATAAGTATATATAATCACATGCTGGAAATATCTGCCATTTTCCCAAATGTTTAAAATAGTAATAATAACATTATTATTACTTCACCAGAGCATTAAACTAAACTCTTTACACTTTAAATTACGTACAACATCTCACACTAGATGCCGTTACATTATAGGCACAAATTACTATTGAATTAAATTCGCTATCTAACTTATCAGTACTTTTATTTACAAATTCGACAAGAAACACAAATAATTAGATCTTGGAAATAATAATTTCCCTTTAAGCGCCGAAATATTAGAAATCAACAGACCTAAAGGCTGTTATAAAAACAAATTAATTGCTGGTGTTTCTTTTTTCACGTTCACCTTAATTTGTCCATTGCGGCTCAAAACTAGAAGTAAGTAAAATAGCATTTAATATCTGCCCGATAATATTTTCGTTTAGTACCAGAACTTCTCAGTTGAGCTGGAAGATGAGAAACAAAAGATTTTGTGAAACACTATTTATACATGTATTATAATACTTGAAAAATGTCATAAAATATTTTATTTACTATCTTCCAGCTCATATAACGAGTTCTGATACTGTGGTTGTTTTTTTTTTTTATTAAGCACCAAGCTACACAAAGATCTATCTGTGCTCTTCCCGCAACGGGTATCGAAACCCAGTTTCTATCGGAAAAAGTCCGCAGACACGCCGCTGTGCCACTAGAGGGCTTCTGATATTGAACCAAAACTTATTCATTAAAAGCAACCTTTAACCTACGTGTCGTTTTTATACATTTATTTTGTGAGCAATAAATTTCCATGTATACAGTATAGATTCATACTCATTTTTCCTTTTGTGTTTTCATTGGTTAAATATTTTAAGTGTATTTCAAAATATTGAGGTATACTCTGGGACACGTTTATCTTAATTTTACGTTTTATTAATGCCAAATTTGATCTATTTTATTATGATCTTTAAAATATTCACAAGGTTTCACTGTTTTATACTCGGTTCAATATTAAAATACTTGTGACACCCTGATGTACCGGATGACGTAGCCTAATGCTGAAACTAATCGCTATAAATATATATTAATGAAACCTAAAAGGTAATAAAGCAACATTTGTTAATTTATCATTTTTCTCTTAATACCCACTTTACTATGACATACAAATTGAGCCATACATACATTCATTACATTTATAATACAATTATTATAGTATACAATATCTTGATATTAAAATAGTATATTAAATTTCAAAACAAATGAAATTAAAAAGTTATTTATATCTTATGCAGATTTTATCTGTCTCTATACCAATCTATCAAACTAACTATCTGTCAATAAGAAATATTTTGAGGATAATTTATAAAAAGCTGATTAGAAAATAATGAAGTATCAGAACAAACTACGCATCAAAAGATTATCAAAATATACATGAAAAGCATTACATCACCCAAAGTACAGTCAATTTTTGAACAACAGCAAAGGGAACAAAAACACGTAAAATGCTCGTTTAATCAATCGGTACCATTAAGTTTTATATGCGATTCAGATTCGTTTTAAGTGTGTGTTTACTTCAGATATTAGTGATATTATTTGTTTCCTGGAATTATTATTGTTGTTGTTAATATACATTATTTTATTTACAGTATTCTTCTTCAAATTAACATTTTCTACAAAACTTTCATTTTGTAAATTTTCACTTATTATAATTGATATTAAGAAGAAACCTACTAAGTCTTAATGATTAAAAATATTTTAGCAGATTTTAAACCAGCAGATGTCACACAAACTCTACGGATAGATGGCGACAAAAATCAAAAGAAGTAACTTAGGCCTAGCAACAAAAATACACGGGACGTCAACTGTTGCAGAATTAAAGACGTACGTAAAATTAAAACAACAAAACACATTATGTTTCGACAGAAAGAAAGAATTAATTAAAAGGTTAGTTTAAATCTGGTCTTTAGAACACTGTTGCTAAGTTAAGAGTAAGACAAGTAATCGAAGTTATAAAATTTGCGAAGCGATTCAATAATAAGTGATTGTTATAATTAAATCTGTCGACATTAAAACGTACATTAAAAATAAAATGTAATTTAAACTCTGATTAACGTTGGTCTTAACAATTTATTTACATTTGATAGTGATGTCTATCATAGGTTCAGAAATGCTTACTGGTATGAAATGACATGGATAAAGTTAATATAAGTTTGGTAATCATTAGCATTTAGCAGTTGCTTTAACTGTAAATATTCAAATATTACTAGTACTAGTTATCTTTGAGTGTCATAAGAGCTTCATCTAATGATATAGTTATCTCTGGATAACCTGTCAGGCCTAACATATAACGCTTGTTATGCTTTTTCATCTTCTACGATCAGGAGACAAAAAATCAGAGAAACCAGAATTACATGATGTATTATTTGATTTTTATACATTATTTAATTATCTTACATTTGTTTTTTCTATACCACAATAATTAATCTGAAAATTTGGTTTGGGCCTATTATGCTCTGTTTTGGTTGTATTTGTTGACAACTTTTCTTTGACTTTTCTTCGTATATAACCGGTAACACAACTATTTTGAGTAACCAGATAGCAGTTTTATTAACATTTTTAACCACCAGTAGGCCTACTGCGTAGGATTCCTATTCTCAAGTCCAATAAGATATATATTATGGTCTGCCATAGACTTTCCGTGTAGCGCCATATATCGAATGTATTTTTTAAAGTCATATGTTTGAGCATTACCTGTAACTTCCGCTATATTATTGATTCAGTTTATAATCAATTGAGCAGTTTTGATTGAGTAAAGGGTAGATTTACAATATAATGAAACTGCAATACAACTGCATATTATTACATTGTTAAAATAAGTAAATAAGACACGACCTATTACTTTTATTACTTATTTTGTGTATTTTTTATGCCAACGTTTCACCATTACAGCTTATCGGGGCAAAAAAGATACTTTCCAACTAATATTTGTTATATAAGCCTAAAATCAATTAGCAAGTGTCTTGTTTGACCTGACGAAGTCGTAATAGCGAAACGTTGGCGTAAATCTAAATTCATGTTTTGCTTATTTAAAACAGCGAATACAACTGTCCTGTTTGTGCTACAAACTTTAAACTCTCATTTATATTGTTCCACTTTAATTGCCCGTATAAAAAAGACAACTGACGTTGAAACCAAATAAGTAAAACTAGATTTAAGGCGTTTTTAAAATTGGAGTTTTTCATTTGATTGGTTTCTTCTGTTAATTCATCTCTACGCCGATCAATGAAAGATGGATCTGAAAAGAGATATAAAATAAATCAAATAAGAATGTTTTCAAATATGCATAATCTCTGACAAAAGTTTGTAGTTCAAAGAAAAGTAATGTAACTATATCTTATTAAATGTAGAAAATGAAAAATCTGAAGATAAACCGTTGTATCATTTGATTTGTATCCAGTTTTCAACTTGATGGTAATACAGTGTATTAGGATAAGTTAACAATAAACAAACAAACAACTACTTAATCTTAAATTAGCCATATAGGAGTCGCTATTATCAGTTATCTCGGCAATCGAAACGTTTTACTCAAAAAATTAAATTCCTGATAGAATTCATTTTATTATTACACGCATATCTGCTCATGTATGATGGAATAGTTTATGACTCACAGCAGTTGTAATATAATTCTTTGGGCCTTATTTGAAAATTTTAATGTTGTTCATCAGTCTGCCTTTGGAGCAGTGACTTGTTGGAGACAAAAGCTGGATATGAAATGTTATTTTTACACACGCTGATTTAAAATCCGAAATGGATAAATTAAGAGGAATGTGGAAAAACAAAACATGTACAGTTTCCGTGATTTGTATTAGTCTGTACCTCCCTCACACACAATATATTTGTACTTCGATAATCTTTGTAAAGCCAATGGTAACACGAACCTTTAGGGACAACAGAATTCCAATAATCAATTTCACTAATGAAAAAGGCTTCTGTGCTATAGACAACAATAACAAAGGTACTTCGTTGGAAAGTCAATGCTATGATAACAATTGTGTCAAATATATAAAGTCCCGAATCTGTGGGTACAAAAAGACGATGGCCGCTTAAGATAATAAAGTCAGTTATGTAAGTCAATTGGCTACTATCAAAGTATACAATAATACCGTTGGAATATAAACTATTACAGAATATCTACTAGATCTAAACGATGGTGGTAGCCAGTATTTATTTGGGTGCTAGATGCTCTGTAAAAATTCTTGGTCAATTTACAGACAATGTTATGAGAAATACAACATTTTAGACTACATATGCCCCATTCTGAACTATTAGTTTCTAAAACCAGGCACTGGTCGTCCGAGAACCCTGAGAGAATAAGTAGAAACAAATCTGCCTGAAATAATATTTGATGAAACAAACCATTTATTGATCCTAAGGATGCTGCGTAATGAATGGGTGCATCTCTAAAGAATCTATATTGTGTGAAAAAATCTGCCTGAAATAATATTTGATGAAACAAACCATTTATTCATCCTAAGGATGCTGCGTAATGAATGGGTGCATCTCTAAAGAATCTATATTGTGTGAAAAAATCTGCCTGAAATAATATTTGATGAAACAAACCATTTATTCATCCTAAGAATGCTACGTAATGAATGGGTGCATCTCTAAAGAATCTGTATTGTGTGAAAAAAAATCTGAAATCCCACTTTGTATCAAATACTTTACAGGTTTTAAACATGATAGAAATAAATCACTTGTAAGAGGATATTAAAGAGTTTGCTAATGTTTATAAAGTTAATTTTTTGTTTTTGCAAGACTTTCAAAGTGTTGATGTGAATTATTTTCAATAAACATATTTTCTTATATATTTATTATTTTTTTGCCCATGTAAGTGTGCACGTTAGTATAATTATTATTCATAAAACGATGTAAGAAATGTTTATCTGATAGACTGGCTAAAAAAATCAGTTGGTCAAATATGAGTTAATTCTTAAAATACGACATACAAAGAATGATCTACAAATGGTACCATTCTATGATTATTTATATTTTATTGACAACATACACAAATGTCTGCTTGAAAACAATATTACTGCTTTCCTTTTTTGAAGACCATTAGAAAAAGTATTTTATATTAATGGCAAAATTACTAACTACCTGCCGCCTTATTTAATTTTGAACAACTGACCAGAGGGAAGGCAGCCAGTCAGGGTCATTCTACCATCCATGCTAAGGAATTGACAGTCACTGTTACAACTCTAAATCTTCAAATGTGAGGCACTGAAAACTTTGTTTTAAATATCTTGTACCACACTTATGTTTTAAGTCAGATTTGGGCATCTCAACTGAAATCTACATTTCTCGCAGTGACTCACGTTACTTAAACATTAACCCTATGAATATTTCATTTCTAGCAGATAAGGAATTGGTATGAACACCACCTTATGACACATGGGCTAAATAGTCAGGTCAGAGACTTTTAAAGTTCAAATGTAGTCTTCTCCACTGTATCTAAAGTGAATAACGAAATCGACTGTCCTGGTTATATCGTTCCTATAGATGAAGGTGCATATCGCGGCTCGAGCTTCGGACCTACGTAGCCCAGCACGCTACCCACTAGGCACGCCTAGGCCAGTAAATATGGTGGGAAATCAAACTTGGCGTATGTACGTTTGGTGTTATTTTTGTCACGTTATTGTGCGAGAATAATTAGACATAATTAAATTACCATCGGAATATGAAATAAATGTCTAAAGAGAATTGTAAATGAGAAAATATTTTGGAAAAGTTTGAAGTAGTAAGCCACTAGCTTGTTAATGTTTATTATATTATAATGATGTTTGAAGTAGTAAGCCACAAGCTTGTTAATGTTTATTATATTATAATGATTTTGGCACCCGAAAATTCGTAAAAAAATGCCCCCTAGTTTATCATTTCAACATTAGAGTTGAGAGCCCTATGTGTAGCTTTTCGCAAAAATTCTGAAAGAAACGTCCTTCGTGGAATTTCTAGTCAATTACATTAATATTTATAACTTAAGGCAAGAACAGCGACTACCTGAAGTTACCAGCCCAATTCTTTGGTTTTATCGATAATATTCTGTAGAAACCAGTTAATGATAATAATGGTCACAGCTTTGTTTGGAATTCAAACTGAAGTCTTTCTTCGTCATTAACAGCTGCAAAACAGTACAACATACCTATTTATTAAAGACGGTGTAGAACACTCTTAAGGTAGCTTTCTTAGAGTTGGAAACAAACCGATGTCATCTCTTAAAAAGGAACAGAAATGACATACAAACTGGACGTAACAAAAACGTACTCAGTCTTGATTTAATGTACACGAGAGCGTATCTCACTGGTTGTTATGTCGTGGGAAGTTTTATTCGAACAATACTTGTGATTTCTGATGTTAACTTTTTGTACAGACACTTTTTTCCCAGATAGACAGTTTCTTAGTGGTGTGTAATGTACCTGCCTTACTTTAATTATAGTATGATGGGTGTAAGTCTCTGTGACAGAAGATATGTTAAATTTATACTCTTCTAAAGCTGTGTTTATATTGTAGCCGTTCCCTGGTCAGTGTTACTTAAATATGAAACCACTGGATACAAATAATTATTATTCGATTTGTATAGTTAGTAGTTGTTTCTATGAAGGAGAAACTGTCCAAACCAGTGATGAGGCGACTCAGTCCAATAAACTGAACCTCACTATTGGGTTCTTATTACAAGTATCTGTTGGTTATTAAATCTACGTCTTAGATGAAAATCATTCTGGTTTATGGTGTAGATAGCAACCTTGACCAAAATGACCTATTACTTTTGCTCATCTGTAGCTTCAGCAACGAAAATTACCAGAAATCAACTCTTAACATTGTAAACAGTGAGACAATTAGCAGTTGATTTAAAACAAACATATTTATGTATTGTGCTTGATTTTCCAATTATTAATTTAAAATTCTACTGATAGGTCATTTTACCAGAGAAAATCTAAATATTACCATTCCTATAACCTAAAGACATTCACATATTAGACTTGGTAGAAAAGTATAAATTTAACATATATTCTGGCACAGGTGGCTTAAACTCCTAAGGCCTTCCACAAATTAAACTTGATAGAAAAGTACAAAATTTAATACATTTTCCGTCACAGGTGGCTTAAACCACTGAGGGCTTCCCACACATTAAACTTGATATAGAATCGTTTCGCTAATAATGGGGGTGCTTTTAATCAATACCGAGAGTCTGAAAATATATAGATCGTAAATACATGTTTGTGTGGAGAATGAAAGCTTTTCCAATCGATGAAGTTGTGTGCACGCATTCGAAAATCTTCTAGTAGCATGTGCGAGAATGTATTCTCTTCGAAACAACAGTCGTAAAGATTTTTCTGCATGATTTTATCCGAAATCAATGACAAAGATCCGAACACGTGTTTGCATGGAAACTGAATTATTAATGTAATCACCTCAACGTAAAGATATCCAAGAACTGATTAAGAGTATACTTGCTTGTCTTGAGTGTATCACGGCTCAATTATTCTCAACAAAAGGTTACGATAATCGCCACTGGTATCTGCTGCCACGTCGTCTGCAAGATTGCTTCCGTACTGGATCAAATACAGTTCTTTGATGTCTTTTAAATCCACCTGGTAAACGTAATTAAAACAGAGATAAATTTAGAAATTAAAAATGTATTCGGTATACTAATAAATTTGAAAAAATGAAATTAGGTTCCAATAAAGTATATATATATATTTATATATTTCAGTAAATAAATAAAGTATATATAAAATTATCTCGTTACGCCAGTATAGCATATAAACGAAATTCGCTTAGTATGCAAATATAGTAAACATAAAATATAAACAAGAGACAGAAATACTGAAATAAACACAAAAATGCAAGTGAATACATAAAGTATAGAATAAACATACAATTAGGACTAAATTTGTCAAATATAGATAAAAATAAATACATACACACCACAAAAATAGGGTTACATAATGGTCTTTAAATAAATTTGCCATTTTCTATGCATTACGTGAAAATAGAAGTCTTAGATAGGTTTTTTTACCTCTGACCTGGACACCAGGATACGGATGAGAGTCTTGTCATCAGTTCCTGGCCCTTGCATACAGTTATGTAGTTCTTCTGCGAAGTACTTTTTTGCATCATCTATACAGGCCACTGTTGGAATAGACAATGAAATCAAATCATGCAAGGTTTTCTGCTGGGACTAAAATAATGAAGGACTATCTTCAATTGTGTATATTTCAAGTGTATCTGCTCCTCGGTAAAACACAACCGTATTAACGACAAAAATTTGTGTTCTTCTGCTATTGTATACTTTAAAACAAATTGAATTGAAAAGATAAGTTTAGTCTAAAACTAAAGTTTAGACTCCGAAAGATGGCAAAGAATGGAAACCAATAGATCTGACATTTGTGATAAAAATTACATAAGCTGTAAATGTTGTTTTTTTCCCTACATTCCTCTTATTTTAATCAACTCGAATTTCAGATCAGATGTATGTAAAAATAACACTATCACTTATATCCCACTGCCTAGGAGGCATTTCGTACAATGCCAGAACTCATCAGTTGGGCTGAAAATGAGAGACAACAGTTTAATTGAAACGCTATTGATATAAAACCTATAATAATATTGAAGAAAGACAAATATGGATTTTAAATTCTATTTTTTCACATCCCTGGTTTGAAATCTGAAATATACAAATTAAGAGAAAAGTCGAAAAACTCATGCAGTTTACATAAATGTTAAGCCTATTAATCTAAAGCTACTGCCTTTATCTCTTTTTTTTTATTAAACGTTTCCGTATATAGTCATTTAATTGTAGATAAACTAACTGGTTGAATTAACTACAAAGAGTTGGAAAAAAAATGTAAGAATTTATACAGAGAATTGGATTTGTCTATAAAAGATTTTATAGATTTTACTCACTTAAAAAAAACACCCACTAGTAATAACGAAGTAAGAAGAGAATGATATAGTATTTTTTTTAATTCTATAAAACGTTTGATTAACTTGGTTTCAACTAAAATTTGCCTACATAAATAGAGGAAATGTCTTTTCCTCTTATTATACTAATCAGTTCATCAGTGATTGGTTGTAAACAGAAAGTGTTACCTATTGTTGCTAGAGCTGCTCCCAGAGATCCGTTGAATTTTGTCCGGATGTTCTCTGCAAGATTCTTACCAGATATCCGCTCATAAGCATTAAACAAGAGTTTTAGCTGGGCGACATTCTGGCCACTTAATAACTTAGCAAGGACTCTTTCTTCCATACTTCCTGCATTTCTTCCTGCCTGTAAAAAAACTATTTATCCCTTTACGAGCTTCACATTATTTTCCGTTGTCTTCTATTGATCCCCCATTTGCCCTCTTTAGCCACTAACAATATGTGATATACTTCTCAATTCTACTTTCGTGTTTAAACAAACAAATCTTACCACCCGTCTGCAAGGTGCAAACATTTTCTGTCATCTGTTTCCCATATTATTTGTGTCTGTACGCAAACGTTATCTGTCACCTGTTTCTCATGTTATTTGTGTCTGTACGCAAACGTTTTCTGTCACCTGTTTCCCATGTTATTTGTGTCTGTACACAAACGTTTTCTGTCACCTGTTTCTCATGTTGTGTGTGTACACAAACATTTTCTGTCATCTTATTTATTTGTTTGTAATTAAGCACAAAGCTACACAATGGGCTATCTGTGCTCTGCCCACCACGGGTATCGAAACCCGGATTCTGACGTTGTAAGTCCGCAGACATACCGCTGCACCACTGGGGGGCTCTGTCATCTTATTCCCATGTTATTTGTGTCTGTACGCAAACGTTATCTGTCACCTGTTTCCCATGTTATTTGTGTCTATATACAAACATTTTCTGTCATCTGTTTCCCATGTTGTGTGTGAACACAAACATTTTCTGTCACCTGTTTCCCATGTTATTTGTGTCTGTACGCAAACGTTATCTGTCACCTGTTTCCCATGTTATTTGTGTCTATATACAAACATTTTCTGTCACCTGTTTCCCATGTTGTGTGTGTATACAAACATTTTCTGTCACCTGTTTCTCATGTTGTGTCTCTACGCAAACGTTATCTGTCACCTGTTTCCCATGTTATTTGTGTGTGTGTGTACAAACGTTATCTGTCACCTGTTTCCCATGTTATTTGTGTGTGTGTACAAACGTTATCTGTCACCTGTTTCTCATGTTATTTGTGTCTGTACACAAACGTTATTCTGTCACCTGTTTCCCATGTTGTGTGTGAACACAAACATTTTCTGTCACCTGTTTCCCATGTTATTTGTGTCTGTACGCAAACGTTATCTGTCACCTGTTTCTCATGTTATTTGTATCTATATATAAACGTTTTCTGTCACCTGTTTCCCATGTTATTTGTGTCTGTACATAAACATTTTCTGTCACCTGTTTCCCATGTTATTTGTGTCTATGTACAAACATTTTCTGTCACCTGTTTCCCATGTTGTGTGTGTACACAAACATTTTCTGTCACCTGTTTCCCATGTTATTTGTGTCTGTACGCAAACGTTTTCTGTCACCTGTTTCCCATGTTGTGTGTGTACACAAACATTTTCTGTCACCTGTTTCCCATGTTATTTGTGTCTGTACGCAAACGTTATCTGTCACCTGTTTCCCATGTTATTTGTGTCTGTATACAAACATTTTCTGTCACCTGTTTCCCATGTTGTGTCTGTAAGCAAACATTTTATGTCACCTGTTTCCCATGTTGTGTGTGTGTATACGCAAACGTTATCTGTCACCTGTTTCCCATGTTATTTGTGTCTGTTCGCAAACGTTATCTGTCACCTGTTTCCCATGTTATTTGTGTCTGTAGGCAAACGTTATCTGTCACCTGTTTCTCATGTTATTTGTGTCTGTACGCAAACGTTATCTGTCACCTGTTTCTCATGTTATTTGTGTCTGTATACAAACATTTTCTGTCACCTGTTTCTCATGTTATTTATGTCTGTACACAAACATTTTCTGTCACCTGTTTCCCATGTTATTTGTGTCTATATACAAACATTTTCTGTCACCTGTTTTCCATGTTATTTGTGTCTATATGCAAACATTTTCTGCCACCTGTTTCCCATGTTGTGTGTGTATACACAAACATTTTCTGTCACCTGATTCTCATGTTGTGTCTCTACGCAAACGTTATCTGTCAACTGTTTCCCATGTTATTTGTGTCTATATACAAACATTTTCTGTCACCTGTTTCCCATGTTATTTGTGTCTATATACAAACATTTTCTGTCACCTGTTTCCCATGTATTTGTAC